TTATAAATATGAATTTTAATAACGTTATTAATAACAATGTGCTGGCTCGTCTTGAACTAGCGAAGGCTTTTAACGAAAACCTCGCAGTAAGGCCGCGTTTTTATGCCTTTGTGCTTGTGCCCTTTGCCCGTAGTGACCGGGCTTTCGTAAAAAAAATTCGGCTAAATTAAGCTAGTTTTGAAGACCTATGATGCTGAAGAGGGCTATTTGGTGGCGCTAAGAAGAGCATCTGCCACCGGGCACCGTATTTAATACCGCTGAGACTTCCTGTCACATTTTTTTACTTGACTTTTTGGTAAAGGTTGGAGCGTTTTCTCACAAAAGGGACAAGAAGCCTTTTTTCCTCTGCATCGGTGTTTGCGGAGCTCTTTTTCCTACCTACAGGAACAGGGCTTGGTGAAATAGTATTAATTTTTTTATGGTAAATTGGTAATGAAGAAACAGGAAACATATTTTGAAAAATTCTAACCGCAAAACATCAAAAAATCATAATAAATAAATGTCATCGCAAAATATACGTCAGCGTCAGCCAAAATATCATAAAATTCAAAAATCCACTCACTTTCATATGGTGGATAGTCAACATTTTGTAAAAAGAAAACTGGCAACGCGGCGAGCGAGTGCATCTATTGCGTGCACGCAGGGAGAGATGCACACGTCTAATGTCAGTTTCAAATAAAGCTATTCGCACATAACAAGTTGCGCATACGAACAAATTGATGCAACTTTGCGTGTACGCAGATATTTGCGATCGATTTCAAATAAAGCCCCCCAGGATGAGTTGATGAAAGTTCAGGATGCGCAAGGCCTAAGAGCTGCCAACAAATTATCCAAGCGTCATATTAATTGGACTCGGGAAATGAAAGTGAAGTTGGCCACTTAGGGCCGGTATTATAAAGCCCGGTTGACCGGAGGTTGAGTTTCAACCAGCGGTTGAACTGATATTTCTGTATTATAAACGATAACCGGGAGTTGAACGGACGGTTGACTGTCGGTTGGCCCAACCGAAAGCAAAGTTCAGTTTGAACCGTCAACCGACAGTTGAAATACGCGTTCTAACCTCACAAATTTGTTTTGAAATTTTAAAATTGTTTGGCTGTTTGTTGTTTGGCTAATGTTTTGAGAGTTCGTGAAAAACTTGTCAATTAAAATAAAATTTAAATTATTTATACTATCAAACAATGTCGTCATCATCTTCTCCCGAAGTTTTACGGAATCGGCTACTTTGGGAAGATAGTAGTGATGATGATTCTTCCGATAATGAAAATCAAAGGGTCAGGAGAAGAGCCCCTCGAAACTTCCGGCTACGACCCGATCATTTCACTCGTTGGAGTGATGAGGAATTCCGGATGCGATTTCGCCTTAGCAAAGAAGCAGTTATTGTCCTGGAGCAAAGGTTGCATGATGATATCGCTCCAATAAGTTCAAGGTAGGTTGTTATTATATTCAGATGTTAACATACAGTGCTTGGCACATGAGTTGATATACGTTAATCTGAGATAGGTGGGGCCGTCTGCTATGCGGTCCTTCCAGATATTTTGACCAGGGCCCTTTTTTTTTAGGATATTTCAAAAAAAAAAAACAAAATTTTCAATATCTAGATTTCAAACTGAAATAACTTTTTGAAAAATGACAAAAATGCACTTACCTCAAAAGTAGAATTTCGTAAAAATGCCCACCTTAATAAAGCGGACAAATAACTTGCTGTTTCGAAGCAAATTGTGGTTATTGCTTATCGTTCGAAAGGGTATGAATTTAAGATGCTTTTGACTGATTAGAAATACTCGATCATTTCTCTTTTTTTTATGCAATGCATAGTTGGCTCTTCAGGATTATTTTTCACCTTTTTTTTGTGGTTTGAGGGCCCCTATTTTTCTTTGTAGCTCTAATGGGCCCTAATTATTAAATTTCTTTGATTCTAAAATTCGTCTAGATTGAAATAAAATAAAAATATTGTCAGTTCCATATTTTTCAAAAAGTTATTTCATTTTGAAATCTGCAGATGGAAAATGTTTGTAACAATAGTAAAAAAATTTAAAAAAAAATTCTTAGGGCCCAGGTCAACATATTATCTGTGTGGACCGTATAGCAGACAGTCCCACCTGTCTTAGATTTACGTATGCCTACTCAGATCACCCTGTATATATTTTAATAAGTTTTTCTCTCGGTGTTTTTCTAGAAATCACGCTGTAACGTCAATGCAACAGGTCCTTCTTTTCCTTCGTTTCTGTGCTACAGGTTGTATGTTGCAAACCATCGGAGATTTTTCTGGTATTCACAAATCTACAGCCAGCCAAATTGTGAAAAAAATTTCCAACAAAATTGCCTCATTAGCACCAGAATATATACATATGCCACGGACACACGAAGATATTGAAACAAGTAAAAGAAACTTTTACTTAATTGCAAAATTTCCTCGAGTTATAGGGGCCATCGATTGTACTCATGTGAGGATAATTTCGCCAGGTACTTAATTGTTTTTTTTTTGTTATTCACTATTTAAGCAAACAAACATTTTACTTTTTGTAGGTGGAGCCCATGCTGAGAATTTTAGAAACAGAAATATTGATTTTTTGAGTATCAACCAAATGTTGCGCAATTGTGAGTTCAGGTACTATCATTCTGACATAAATCATAAGTTTAGCAGTTTTGTGTCAACTGTTCTGGAAATTTTAAATTTAGTTGCTCCAATAAAAACCGTAAAAATTTTTCCTAAATATAAAAAATGGTGGAACAATAGGGTTGAGATGGCGATGCGAGAACGTGATTTTAGTTATAGGACTTATAAAAATAATAAAACAGATGAAAACTTAAATGAATATAAGCAAAAAAGAAATTTTGCAGTTGAAGTGTTTAGAGAAGAGAAACGTAAGTTCTATGAAGAAAAAATATGTCAAAATAAAAATAATCCCACAGAAATGTGGAAAACTTTGGAAACTTTATTACCTTCAAAAAGAACAGTGGCTAAAATTGATGAGGTAGAAATAAATAATACCTTAATTAGTGATAAAGAGGAGTTACCTAATAAACTGAATATTTTTTTTGTTGATAGTATTAAAGATATACTTCGGGATATAGATAAGTCTGATCTTGGAGATTTTCCATTGGCTCACCATGACAATTTGGTTAATTTTTCAGATTTTAGTATGTTGGATTTTGAAGGGTTGAAAGATATTATTTTTGGAATGGCTAATAAATCAAGTCCAGATGATATTAACATCAATTTACTCAAAAATACTTTTGAGATTATAAAGAATCCACTTTTAAATTTAGTTAATTCTTCGCTAGAATTAGGTCAGGTTCCTGATATGTTAAAAGTTTCCACTATAATCCCGATCCCCAAAGTAATTAAATTAAAATCTGCCAATGAATTGCGTCCAATAAATTTGCTTTGCACTATTGACAAAATTTTGGAAAAAATGGTGTATATGCAACTTGTTGAGTATATAGATCGGAATAAAATACTAAGTGATTTTCAATCAGGATTTCGAGTAAAATTTAGTTGCGAAACTGCTGTGCAGGGTATCTTGGAAGACTGGAGGCAAAATATTGACAAAAACTTAGCAACTGGTGCCATTTTTCTTGACTTACGAAGGGCATTTGAAACTGTAAACAGGACAAGGTTAATATTAAAGCTAAAAAGCATTGGTATTAGGGGAGTAGTTTTAAAATGGTTTGTGAGCTACTTGAGTGACCGTAAACAAAGACTAAAAGTCAATGACATATTATCAGAATATATATCTAATGATTTTGGCGTCCCTCAGGGGAGCGTGCTGGGGCCTTTGCTATTTATTATATATATTAATGACATAATTAAAAACGTAAAAAATTGTACCACATATCTTTTTGCTGACGATGCCTTATTCTATTATTCCACAAAAGATCTGGGCCAACTTGAGACATCACTTAATCAAATATTGGATGATGTGTATCAGTGGTGTAATGTTAATGATTTGAAGGTCAATATTTCTAAAACAAAGTACATGATTATTGCAAGGGAATCCATTTACAAACAGCTATTGGCTATGGACTGCAAATTATTGTTGGGCAGCGACACTATTGAAATGGTAACAAAAATTAAATACTTAGGAATTTGGATTGACCATAAACTAGATTTTAAAAGTCATGCATTAGAAATAATTAAAAAAATCGCTTTTAAAGTAAATTATTTATCTCGCTGCTCTCCATACTTGTCTACTTGGACTAAAAAAACTATATTTAATGTATTAATACTTCCACATTTCCATTATTGTTCTAGTATTTTGTTTCTCTTCAGACAAAATGAGCTCTCAAGATTGCAGAAATTGCAAAACAGAAGTATGAGGGTGATACTCAAAAAACCAAGGTTAACACCAATAAAGGATATGTTAAAAGAACTTCAATGGCTGCCAGTGCGGGAGCTTCTTCTGTTTAACACCCTAACATTCATTCATAAAATAAAAATTGGTCAAGCTCCGCAATATTTGTTAGGCAAAATTATGTATGCTTCTGAAGTGCATCAATATCATACGCGCCACAGAGAAAATTTTTATATCCCAAGGGTAGATCAGGAAAGGTCGCAAAACTCATTATATTTTAAGGGCTTGAGTAGGTATAATGATCTGCCAAATAATGTTAAGTCTATGAAAACAGTGAATTCTTTTAAAAAAGTTCTCAAAGATTATATGCTAAGTGATGTTAACTTATAAGTAAGTAGTATGTGTAACTTGTATTGTATCAGTGTACGTTTTTTTTTAAATAATTTTTTATCATTGTGTTATTGACTGTAGATTTTAAATTGTTTTTTAATTAAATTATAAATTAGCTTTAGTGGAATTTCAATTGATAACTGTAACTGTATAACTGGAAATTAGTCTTGACTAAATAAAGGATTTATATATATATATAATAGAAAAAAAAATGTCGAAAAGAGTTATCTGTTTTACTTCTAAAAAATGTGCCATGTCATCATTAGACAAAACAATCACTTCGATGTATGGTGATGAAGAACTAGTTTTTAGTGAAAATAAGGATAACCAGCTAACACAAAGACAGAATATCCTAGTGTCAATAGATAAAAACAACACACGTGAGGACGATGAGGATTCAGAAGACGAAGCAATTTCAATGGACCAACTGGACGAGCAAAGATGTGGTGAAAAAGCAGATGTCATGCGAAAAGAGATAAATGCAAGTGATACTGTTTTACCAAACTATCTTATGAAACAGATATGTTCTGTACAGTCATATGTTGTTATTGAATCAATTTATGGGGGACTGTACAGCATATGCTTCACTTGCCATTATCAGCATGGTCTGGAAGTCCCCATGGGAAAGCATACTTTCGTCAACACCCATTACCAAAAAGCGTTCTCCTGTTGTGAAGAAAATGACCTATTTTGCGCATTATGCAAGAGAAACCTCTTCGTTAACATGCCCATAGAGGTTTGCATAGTGTGCAATAAACCTGAAGCTCAACAAATATCCAGCCACCTGTTGGAGAAAAAAAACTTTGAGAAGCCTTGAATATATTTTTTTATTTTTTATTGTATATTTTTTTTGTATTTTTTTTTTATAGTTATATTAGGGTTTTATACTATTTATTTATCAATTAGTTATTCGAGTAAGATCTTGTAAAACTCTCATAAATTAATTGAATTATTGTTCAACCAATAAATATTTAAAAAATACTTTGTTTCGTAACTATACCCACAGTCCCACATTCTGGGCAGGTAAAATAAAGGTAGGTCAATTTTGGCCATGGTTGACCCCAAGAGCAGGATACCAATACCAATGGATTATTGATCCTATAAAAAAATAACATTTATATTTTTCTCTGCATAATAAAGATTTATCTATTCTGTATACAGGTAAATAAAATTATGAATACATACATGAATTTTTTTTTTGCTCAAGATTTCTCAGAAAAAAAAATAAAAACAATGATTCAAAAACAAACTTATGCAAGCAAGGTCAGTAACACTTTCCGTTTCACATATGAGACTGGTTACCGTGCAGTATACCTGCTTTGGGTGAAAACGTACCGTAAAATCGCCTTTTGGTGGCTATAGAGGGTTATCGATCTCACTAAAAAAATAGTTTGTAAATTTTTTTTTTTTATTAAATATAAAATAAAAAAAGAATGTTAAATGGTTACAGTATTAACAATGATAATTTAACCAATGTGTCCGCCATTTTCCATAAGAGATAAGAATAATGAAGAGTGTGCTAAAGAGCCCCCAAATATCGATTTGATTCAAGATACGGATTGTTTTCCCAATTAAATACAGGTCTTAAACTTTCTAAAAAGTGACAGAAATTATGACCACCAATAAATTGAAAAAAAAAAACAGTTAAATATAAATCCTGAAATTGCCAACACAGATACAACCTACTTTTGTTTGGATGGGCCACCTGCACAAAAAAAATATTTCTACTTGCAACAATGTATGTACAAATCTTGTTTTCGATGTAGGTTGAAGCAAAAAATTTAAATAAACCTTTTAAACATTAAAACTCAGTTGTCAACTGCTCTTCAAAAATGGTCAAGATTTCACCAAAAAAAAAAAAAAACATCCTGAAAAAAAGAAGTACCGTGATATACTACCCACGAATGAGTGCAACATTGTATGTAGTTTTAAATTTTAAAAAACTCGATTGTAAATCTCTCTGAAACCACGAATTAAGGCTACATTGTATGGACTTTTAAACTTTCAAAAACACAATTGGACATTCCGCGAGAAAGTGGATAAGATATTTACCCATAAATTTTGAAAAGGTATTGCAGAAAAAACGGTACCTACCTTAACGTAAATGAGTTAAGATGTAAGATTTATGTTGAACCAGGCCGAAAGATTGCCGAGTGTGGGTATCGAGCGGGGTTCGAAAATATGTGAACGCCCTTTTTTGGTCTTATAAAATCTCCTGAAAATTTCAGTTCAGATGCAACTTGTTTGATCTTCGGTTAAGTTCTTTTTTTGTATCTTGTTTTTTTGTTTGATACTTTTGTGCAAATGTGTGATCCGGTAAGTCATTTTTTCAATGATGATTCACTTTCAAATTATTTAAACAATGCTGAGAATACTACTTTTAATGACTTGAATTTTAATAACGTTTGTCAAGAACACGGGTTTGAAGAGTGTTTAAGTTGTTGCATAGATAATAATTTTTCAGATTTTTCCAACAATTCTCTTCCAGATTGTTTCAATTTTTCACATTCTTCTGACGTTGAGATTTCATATGGAAAAAAAGATGTAAATGTTGATATTTTTCAAAATCTAATTCCCCAACCTTCAACATCCCAAGCTATACACAATTCAACAATCAATACTTTTGATTTAATAGAAGAATCTAGCGACTCTTCTCTTTCTGATAGAACTATTTTTTCAAATTTAGAACTTAATGATGAGATTCAAAACACAATACACCACCAAACAGAAGATCTGAAAAATAATCAGGATCTTTCAAAATTTATTAATTTGAAGAATAAAACTAATTTTTCAAGAACTGACTTGAGGCAGTGTAGCTCAACAATGAAGTCAATTATTTTCAATCAAATAAATTTGGAAAAAAATATGAAAGAAAATTTTTGTATTCAAACTTTATCAAAGATAAAAAATAATATAGACAGACAGAACAATCTGTTAGCAAATGTGTGTACCTATTTCTTTGAAAAAAGAGAAGGGGCATAAATTTATAATATAAATCAGTCTGTAAGTAAAATTAGTTTAGTAACCATGGCTTTTGTATGCACACATTGCTTGAAAGAGTTTAAGCAGAAAAGATACATTAAAAAACACATTTTGAAAACGTGTGTGAAACCGAATGATCCCTCAAAAGTAGAAGATTACATAATTGATGGTGAGTTTAACTGTATTTCATATTTTTTTGATTGGGTTTCACTTATGCAATATTTTTTACAGTCGAGCAAACTTTTTTTTTAAAAAAGAACAAACTCGTTTTTGTCAAGAGTGCAATAAAAATGTTGATATACAAACCTGGAATGCACATTTGAAGACAAATCTTCATAAAAATAATAGCACTATTAAATATGGTAATGGTATTGATATGATTAGAAGTGCATTTAAATGTCGTATAGCTTCGTACAAAATATATTCCCAAAAATATCACGTGGATATCAAATACTTTTTGAATGAAGCAAGAGAGAATATTTTTTTGCTTATACGACAGAAGCAGCAAGAACACCAATCTATAAAAGTCAATGCCGAGTTGTTTGGTGTGTACTTTTCCCCAATGTTAAAAAATATGTCGGTTAAATCTTTCAATATGCCATTTTTCATTGTCGTTGAATCAACAGATCTAGAAGAAATTTATGAGAGTCTTGTAAAAATCATTTTATCCAAGGCAGATGAATTACCAGAAAGGGATTCGGGTAGGTCAAGATATTTTTTAAAGACTTTTTTACATAATGTATTATTTTAAAGGATGGATTCTACAAAAACTTCTCCATTTGGAATAAAATATCAACAAACACAACCCACTGAGTGCATCATCATATATCGCAATTCCATACTACAAATCAAAGTGTCTGATCAATATTCGGAATACAGACAATTGTTGTTTTGCCTGGGCGATGGTTTCTGCAGTCTGTGTGCCAAAAGGGGACCCCCAACACACTTCTTCGTATCCAAATTTCAGCGAAGTATTTGATTTTTCTAATATAGAGTTTCCTGTTGTTTTAAAGGATATTAAAATTTTTGAACAAAATAATAATTTATCCATTAATGTATATGGCATTGAAAGATTTCTAAAAAACGGAAAACATGTAAATGAGATTGTAGGTCCATTACATTATAATCCTATAAAGAAAAATGTGCACGTAAATTTACTTTTGGTAACTGCCGAAGATGGTAATAATCATTATTGTTGGATAAAAGATTTAAATAGTTTAGTTTCAAAACAAATATCAAAAAAGAAAGAAAGAAAGCATCTTTGTGATGGCTGTTTACAAAACTTTGGCACTTATGAAAAATTGAAAAGACATTCAGATAATGATTGCAGTCACGTGCGAATTGATTTACCTTCAGATAATATTATTTTAGATAAATTTGGTAATAAAATGCCTGCAAATATATTAAAATTCCAAAATATACAGAAGCAATATAAGGCACCATTTACAATTTATGCTGATTTTGAATGTTATTTAAAAAATGTTGATGATGGTAATGTTGATCCTACAAACTCATACACAAAAAAAGTTGCCGAACATGTACCATATTCTTTTGGCTATTACATTAAATCATCATTTGATGATAATATTTCATCTCTTAAGATTTATCGCGGGACTAACTGTGCTGAAAAATTTATAGAATTAATTGAGAAAGATGTTGTAAGTATCTATCATAAATATTTGAAGAACAAAGTTGACATGAAGAGGTTAACAAGTAACCAGCAAAAAGAGTACGACAGTGCAAATATATGTCATATTTGTGAAAAACCATTTTCAGAGGGTAATTTTTTAAAGTGTAGGGATCACTGCCATATTACAGGAGAGTATAGAGGTAGTGCGCATGTCATATGCAATCTTTTCTATCAGATTCCTAGACAAATTCCAGTTGTATTGCACTGTCTCAAAAATTATGATAGTCACCTATTTATTAAATCTCTAGGTAAAAACAAAGAAAATATTCATGTAATTGCTCAAAATAAAGAAAAATACATTTCATTTAGCAAAGAAATTGTAGTTGATTACCATGCAGAACACAAAATAGTGCTTAGATTAAGTTTTATAGACTCCTTTCAATTTTTACCAGAGTCTTTGGACTCACTATCCAAGACTCTGGAAGATTCACAATGTTTAGAAATCAAAAAACATTTCACAGAAAGAAACAAATTCCAATTAATTAGACAAAAAGGTGTGTTTCCATATTCATATATAGATTCATATGAAAAATTGAAAGAAGTATCCCTACCACCCAGAGATAAATTTTATAATAATATAATTGATGAAAATATATCCGCTGAGGATTATGAACGCGCTGTGTCAGTGTGGAAGTTATTCAACTGTTCTACTTTGGGTGAATATTCTGACATCTATCTAAAATCCGATGTTTTGTTGTTGGCGGATATTTTTGAAAATTATAGAACACTATGTCTCAAAACATATAAACTGGACCCTGTTAACTATGTAAGTAGTCCATCAATGTGCTGGGATGCTATGATGAAATTGAGCAATGTCAAATTAGAGCTGATAACAGATCCAGATATGCTTCATTTTTTTAAAAAAGGCATTCGAGGTGGAGTCAGTACTTGCACATCCCGCAAATCTGAAGCAAATAATCCATTCCTTGACACTTTTAATCAAAATATTCCAACAACATATATTGCCTATCTAGATGCCACCAATTTATATGGTTATGCTATGAGTCAATACCTGCCACAAAAAGACTTTTCCTGGGTTTCTGATGATGAAATAAAATCAATTGAAATTTCAAAACTCTCAGACAATGCAGATATTGGCTATGTATTTGAGGTTGACCTTGAGTACCCTAAAAATCTTCACGATA